TGATTTTTTTTTTTTTTTTTTTGTATTGTAATAAGTTCATATGTACTGTGCAGTTGTCTTTGTGTTATGGTTTTTTTTTGTTGCTGTTTTTATGTTTTTTTCTATTTTTACTTGATAAACTACATTCATGAAAACATTTTTTTTTTCTTTTTTTTTCATTATCTTCTGAAACAAAGCGTTAAGAGAGATTCAAAATCTTGTTTATCAACAAGATAGATAACATTGAGAATTATGATGTTATGAAGTATAACTGAAGGAATCAACATGCTTTAATGATTAAACTGTGTCTTTGTGTGTGTGTGTGTGTGTGTGTGTCAAAGTTCACTTACAGACATCGGAAGAAATGGGTGAGGAAAGACTTACAGCAGAACAAACAGAAACCTGTGAGTAACCAACACAACACACACACAACAAGACACACACACACACACACACAACACACATACACACACACACACAACAAGACACACACACAACAAGACACACACACACAACAAGACACACACATACACACACACTCACACGCACACACACACACACACTAAACAGATACACTGGAAACACTTTAAAATAAGGTTTGATTTGTTAACATTGGTTAAGCATGTTAGTTGTTGTGATCTACCAACAAACAGTACTTCTACAGCATTTTTCATTATCTTAGATGATGTACATTTCAACAGATCCACCAGCTTTGCCCCGCTTGCTGCATGAGAAGCGAATATGCTCTCTGAGGAAAGGTAGTGTGTGCAGGGGCTTTATGCGCTCGGTTTACCTGCCATTGATCACACTTCCCTGTCTGTCTAGCCAGACTTGATGCAATTAGATGCTTCTGCAGAGCTCAGGCACGGATGCTCTTCTCATCGGTGGATCTCTCCACTCAATGTTTCAGATAACCGGGGTTACCAACAGTAACCTATTGTTTCTCTCAGGTCAGAAAACAGCGTCCAAACCATCAGATTACTGTGGTAAACTGCTCCGCTACAAACCACATGGCTTTTCTGCTTCCGTCATTACTAAAGGTGTGTCGCTGTTATTTTTTCTCTTCAAAAAAACTTTATTTAGTTGTATAGCTCTTTTCACAGTACAAGTGTTTCAAAGCAGCTTTACAGAAATTCATGATGTTAATGTTTATACTATCTTAATATCTTTATGACTTATAGTCGCATTTATCAGATTAGAGCTGGACGATAATATAGTTACATTGTGCAACAATATAATCAAGCATTCGAGATATATAGCATATAGTTTATGTTGCATGACATGAGTATACGTTATGCATGCGAGTAAAGTTGGACATATTTATTGTAGTTGTATAATTTGTTTATAAGAATTTGGTGCCTAGTTACTAGCCCTTAGTGATGTGCATTACAGGCATAGTTAAATGATGCGTATAAATGGAAGGGTTAAAATTATGATTATATCATTAACTAAGCAGCTTAACTGAGGGGTTTATTTCAAGTAATCATAGAATAATAGTGTGCTGTGGCAAGGAATGAAATACACTTGATGTTGGATAATGGAGAGAAAAAAGCTTCGCGAGAAACCAGGCAACATCAGAGAGTCAGTTCTCCTCTAACTCTACAGTCCATATAATGACAGTGATTCAGTAAATATTATATAAGACGACGATCAGTCTGTTCAAACGTTCTCTACAGAATCAGGAGTGAACTATGAAACCTCTCTGGAGATGAAGGTGGTTTTGAGTGTGTGTGTGTGTGTGTGTGTGTGTTTCAGCTCTGTTGGGGCTGCTGGTGTTCGGGGTGGTCTGGGCTGTGACGGGACCCGCGTGTCTGCCGGGTCAGAACCTCTTCGGCCTGGTGATTCTGTTCCTGTCGGCCGTGTGTGGAGGAAAACTCATCAGCGTCGTCAGATTACCCAGAACCCCTCCAGTACCAGCTCTACTGGGTAAACAATCCTGAATGTGTGCGAAAGTAGCGGTAGTTATTTAAGGCTACTAACCCTTTATCTGACAATACATATATCAGAGATTTGTATGAATGCGTTTTATGATTTTTTTTGTATGAATGCACGCTCATGCATCCAGTATCTGTGAACTTGATGTCATATATTGTGTGTGTGTGTTTCAGGGATGCTGCTGGCCGGTGTGGTGTTGCGTAATGTGCCGTACGTCACAGACGCTGTGTATATTGATCAGAACTGGTCTGCGGCTCTGAGGAACGTGTCTCTTGCCGTGATTCTCACCAGAGCCGGTCTGGGACTCAACGCTGCTGTATGTGTGTGTGTGTGTGTGTGTGTGTGTTTCAGGCTCTATAGTGGTTGAAGTATACAGGTCTGTCTATGCTTGTGAGGTCCAGTATGTTTTCACTATTCAAAAATGTCCTTACTAATATAGTGAAACCAGGGGCATTCCCTTCAAAGAGGCAACGGAGGCAACTGAACTAAACCGAAAAACCGCGATACACCACCCACGGTACATATCCATATCGAACGCCCGCCCAAATAGTGAATCAGAGTGACAACTTCAGCTAAATATGTATGAACAAGATGGGGCTGCGGATGGCCACCTCGGTGTGGAGCTCCACAGTTGTTTTAATGTTTTTGCTAGTTTGTCCTGTTTTTAGCTATATATTCCCACAATCAGTTTCACCAGGGACAGATTGCTGAACATTCGGCAGTACACACCACCCAATATTTCACCGGTTTTTGACTATTCTGATGTTTTGCTGGACATTGTAGTTGGCGGAGCAGCGGTGTTGCTTCGAATTCTGTGACCACAGTAGGCGCTGTATTGAGCTAATCTGACCTACTCCTAAACCTACCCTCACTACAGCGCCTACTAAGGTCACAGAATTCGGTGTAACGACGGAAACCTTGCTGAATGAAGGCATTCCGGACAGCGGGTTACATCTGCCAGGCTTCCAGCTGTTCAGAGTGGACCGCGACGCAGAATCAACAGGAAAATCACGTGGCGGTGGGACATGCTTTTACATCAATGAAAGGTGTCAACAGATGTAACAGCATTAAAGAAGATGTGCTGTCCCGATCTAGAAGCGCTCTTCATCAACTGTGAGCCATTCTACTCGCCGCAGGAGTTTTCCTCGTTCATTCTCGTGAGTGTTTACATTCCACCGCAAGCGCACGTGAGCACAGCACTACAACAGCTGGCTGATCAGATCACAGACACAGAGCAACAACACCCAGACTCTCTGATAACCATTCTCAGAGACTTTAATGAAGCAAATCTTTCCTTGGAGTGTTTTTGAAGCTGCTGCCACCGATCTGGACGAGCTCACGGATTCTGTAACATCATACATTAGTTTCTGTGAAGACATGTGCATTCCTACCAGGACTCATCTAACTTACAACAACGACAAACCATGGTTCACTGCAAAACTCCGACAGCTCCGTCAGGCCAAAGAAGATGCCTACAGGAATGGGGACAGAATCTTGTATACAACAAACTGAGCGGCTAAGAGGAACTACTCTGAAGAGCTGAGAAACCAGTTTTCAGCCAATGACCATGCATCAGTGTGGAAAGGACTGAAAGAAGTCACCAGCTACAAGACACTGTCCCCCAGCACTGTGGAGAATCAACAACTGGCCAGAGATTTGAATGAGTTTTATTGCAGGTTTGAAAAACTCTGTCTCACACCCCACACCCGTTCTGACCTTCTCTCCGTGGATCTGTAGACCAACTTCAGTGTTTGCAAACAGTGATGACGTTTTTTGTGGGCGGAGCCTATCTGGTGGCAGAACATGCCCGCTTTAAAGTGGCAGTCTACGGAAGCCATGGAATAAAAGAAAAAAAATCTAATTTTGAGTTTATACTTCAAAATTCTGACTTTTTTCTCGCAGTTCCGAGATTATATCTCACAATTCTGATAAGAAAAATCAACTCGTCATTATAATCCCACACTTCTAGCTTTTTTCCCTCAGAATGAACAAACTCGCAATTGTTGAGTTAAACTGAGTTATAAAGTCCGAACTAGGAGATATAAACTTGCATTTGCGGAAAAAAAAGTCAGAATTGTGAGATAAAATAGATAAATGTTACATGGCGCTTTTCCACTGCATGGTACGGCATGGTACGGCTCGGTACGGTTCACTTTTGGGGGGGTTTCCACTGGGTACAGTACCTGGTACCTGGTACTTTTTTTAGTACCACCTCGGTTGAGGTTCCAAGCGAACCGTACCGTTACCAAAACGTGACGTGTAAACTCTGCTGATCACGGATTGGCCGGAGAGAATCGTCACTACCTGCGTCACTGAACTTGCGACACAAACACAAAAGAACCGCTAGATTTAAATCAGCACAGCCAGCGAAGCATCGAACGCAACTGTTTTGAACGAGCGCACCTTTTTTTAACAACCAAAAACTGGCTGTTCCCCCTGTTGAGGAAGTACAGACGCAATAGAGGCGGCGCAACTATAACAACATGTGAATAATCCCGCCCACTCTAAAGCGGTACTAAACTGCAGTGGAAACGCAAACCGAGCCGAACCGAGCCGTGCCGTGCCGTACTGAGCCGTGCCGAGCCAAGTCGTACCACGCAGTGGAAAAGCGCCAATAGGTTTAAATAGTAGGCTATATCATACTGTAAATGTAAGGCTAATACAATATGTCCCCTATGAACTGCATATGTGAATATTATGAAGACCTATTGTTTAAATCAGTTATGCTTTAAAAGTAGGGTAATCATTGCAGGTTTCATCCATAGTCTGTCCGTTTAAACGTCTGCGTTTAGCTTCAAATGGCGTCTTTGACGTCAGTATTCTATAAAAATAATTTCCATTCCGATTCTGACATCTAAAGGCACAACAATACCTTTTTATTCTTATTCCATGGATTTTACCCGTTTTCCTCCACTCGCTCCCAGTGTTTTTCTGCCACCACAATGCGCACGCAGCTGTGACGTCTACTCCAAATTGGTCTATTCACACCTCCAGCAACCCTGCTCTCATCATTGAATCTGTGATCTGCACTTCTATAACTGTCTGCTTCAGCTCAGCCACCAAACCAGACCTCAGAAGACTACACAGAGGATAGCCCGGACTGCTGAGCGAATCACTGGCACAACCCTCCCCACTCTCCAAGAACTGCACTCATCCAGAGTGAGCAAAAGAGCTGGTAAAATCACTCTGGACCCCTCACATCCAGCACATCTCTCTGAACTACAGAGCACTGAGCACCAGAACGGCCCGGCATAAGAAGAGTTTGTGAATCTGTTTGTGCTGTGGAAGCTTCTGTCACCAAATCAAATTCCTCATATGTGTAAACACAGCTGGCAGTAAAGCTCGTTCTGACTCGGACTCTGATTGTAAATGCACAGCACGGGCTTCACCGTCTCGTGTCTGCGTCTGTGCGTCGTTCTGCGGCCACACCGCTAGAGGGCGCTGTTGAGCGTCGACTACAGGAATAAAGCAATCAAGCGCCGCAGAAGAAGAGTTTGTTTACCTCTGTGAAGCGGCAGTAGTGTAAGCCCCAAAACTCACGTTTATAAACATTTAGTGGAATTCCCTCTTAAATTTAGCTATTGTGTCATGTTGCTATATAAATAAAGATATTGTTACGTTTTTGGATCTAGATTAATTTATGATTTGAGCTTCGTCCTCACCGCTGTCATGACAAGCTTCAGACTCTATTTACATTCATTTCCAACGGATTTGACATTGTGTAAATATAATGAACTGAAATCAGTGCGTTTGTTCTTAAACTTAAAAGACTTAACGATGCGCGTGCATGACGGAGCGCAATAATACTAAAACCTTGAATTTGATGTTTTAAGAACATTTAATGTAATGAGATTATAATAATGAGTCTCTTTACATTTACAGAAAAATAAATGACAGTAACGTGTTGCTGAATGTGTTCCTGCAGACTTCCCTCTGACCAGCTGACACTCATTTTGTGCATTTAGTTTGTGATTTTATCCTTATTTTATCCTTTATCCGTGTGTGTGTGTGTGTGTGTGTGTGTGCGCGTGCGTGCGTGCCTGCGTGTGTGTGTGCGTGCTTGTGTGTGTGTGTGTGTGTTCCAGGCCCTGCGGCGTCTGAAGGCGGTGTGTGTAAGGGTTGCTGTCGGCCCGTGTCTTACCGAGGCGTGTACGGTGTCTGTAGTGGCTCATTTTCTGCTGGAATTGCCCTGGATATGGAGCTTCATGCTCGGGTAACAAATCGTTCAGTGTTTGTCTTCTGTCAGTTTTCGTGGTTAAAAGGTTTGAATTCATTAGAATTGACAAATTCACATTCACACTGAATAAGTGAAAGGGCCTGATTGGTGAATGCTGTGTGTAGTTTCGTTCTGGCCGCCGTCTCTCCAGCTGTGGTGGTTCCGTCCATGTTGCTCCTGCAGTCGGAAGGATTCGGTGTTCAGAAAGGAGTTCCCACACTCCTGATGGCTGCTGGGAGCTTCGACGACATCCTCGCCATCACGGGATTCACCACGAGCCTGGGCATCGCCTTCGGAACCGCACTCACACACACACACACACACACACACACACACACACAGTAATTTCAATACCTGCTTCATGTGATTCCAATTTTTTCATGTGATTCAAACAATGTTTCTTCTCCAAAGGATCCACATGGATGAATGTGGTTAAAGGAGTTCTGGAGGTGCTGGCAGGAGTTCTTGCAGGAGGAGTCATGGGACTTCTGCTCCATTTCTTACCCAGCGAGGATCAGGTGACACACACACACACACACACACACACACATTTGTAAATGTATAATGACTTTATCAATATGGCATCATCATATGTTTGGAATCAACAATTTGCACATGGAGCCGCATTGAGATCCCAGTATCTCTGGAACTGAACCATACAGGGCCTTAAAAATTACGATACCAAAAGAAAAGTTTGTTAAGAAACAGAATCCTTTTAGATATTAATAAGTATTAAAGATACTAAGATATTTTCAATACTTATTGAGTTTCAGCCATGCAAACTTTGGGGAAAAGTTTTTTCCCCATTTTTGAACGGTCACCACTGATGTATGTATTAGTGTGTAACGACTAATACACACTCTCTCTCCTCCTTCTCTCCACTCTCGGAACTCTTCTTTGTAGCCCCCTCCTTCTTCAACTCTTACAGCTGATGACTTTGCAACATTCTTCATAAACAAACCAACAACCATCAGCAGCCAATTCTTCACACCTCAAACTGACAATCACATCATAACACATACATACTCTCTCTCCTCCTTCTCTCCTCTTTCGGAGGCAGACGTTTCCAAACGTGTCCTTTTCATGCATCCTACTACCTGTCCGCTTGATCCTATCCCCACTCACCTCCTTCAGGCCATTTCTGCTTCAGTTATACCTTCGCTTACTCGCATTATCAACACCTCTCTTCACACTGGTACATTTCCAACAGCATTCAAGCAGGCTCGGGTAACCCCACTGCTTAAAAAACCGTCTCTAAATCCAGCACTTTTAGAAAACTACAGAAAGATCTGTCATTCAGAAGCATGGCTTTTCTTATCACTGCTATGCTGATGACACTCAAATCTACTTCTCATTCCAACCAGATGATCCGACGGTAGCTGCTCGCATTGCAGCCTGTCTGAGAGATATTTCTAGCTGGATGAAAGATCATCACCTTCAGCTCAACCTTGCTAAGACAGAACTGCTTGTGGTTCCAGCAAACCCATCACTTCATCACAACCTCTCTATACAGCTGGATTCATCAACCATAACTCCTTCCAGGACAGCCAGAAACCTAGGAGTTGTAATCGATGATCAGTTAAGCTTCACCGACCACATTGCTACAACGGCCTGGTCCTGCAGATTTGTCTTATACAGCATTAGGAAGATTAGACCCTTCCTATCAGAGCAGACCGCACAACTCCTTGTCCAAGCTCTTGTTCTCTCCAGACTGGACTATTGTAATGCTCTCTTGGCGGGCCTTCCCGCATGCACTATCAAGCCTCTGCAACTGATCCAGAATGCAGCAGCGAGAGTGGTCTTCAGTGAGCCGAAAAAAGCTCACGTCACACCTCTTTTCATCAGGTTACACTGGTTGCCAGTAGCCGCTCGCATCAAATTCAAGATACTGATTCTTGCCTACAAGACCACCACTGGCGCTGCACCAATATACCTAAACTCGCTAGTTCAGACCTACGCGCCCTCCAGAAGCTTGCGTTCTGCAAGTGAACGGTGCCTTGTGGCTCCATCCCAAAGGGGCACAAAATCACTCTCACGGACCTTTCCCTGGACTGTGCCCGGCTGCTGGAACAACCTGCCGATCTCAATTCAAGTCTTTAGCCATTTTCAAAAAACATCTAAAGACACATCTTTTTCGCCAGCACCTGACCAACTAATACTAGCACTTACCTATTCTATTCTGTTCTGTTCTATTCCATTCTATTATTTAAAAAAAAAAGCACCCTAGCTACGTGCACTGTGCTAGACTAACTGAGACTTGTCATGGTACTTGTATACTGTTGTTCTCTCGTTGGTCTGATTGCTTCTATTGTTCTCATTTGTAAGTTACTTTGGATAAAAGCGTCTGCTAAATGATTAAATGTAAATGTAATGTAAATGTATAATGCAACACAGATTGCTGAAGTCAACAGATTTTACTAACAGAGCTGCCAATCTCTGTGTGAAAATAACATCATGATGCTGCCATCTTTCTGAAGTCATTTTTAACCCTCTGTAATCTGGCTCCAAATCTCTGAATATCTACAAAATAGTGCATTACTCTGTAAATATACATGCATGACATTTAATATTTTGGCTTTCATCACTATACATGTTTATCTTTCTTTAGAAAAAATATTAATAAAATCAGAAATTGGAGCTTGAGACGCTTTTAAAATTTGGCTGATTTGAGATGAAATGAGATGTGCTTATTAATCTAGTGAAGTGAATGTGTGTGCAGTCAGATGTGGTGCTGCGGCGCTGCGGTCTGCTGCTGGGTCTGTCTGTGTTCAGTGTTTTCGGGAGTCTGGCCGCGGGTCTGGGCGGCGCCGGCGGTCTCTGCACACTCGTCCTGGCCTTCATCGCTGGACTCAGCTGGGCAGAACAAAAGGTGAAAGAGATTAGTTTAGACTGTGTTCTGCACTCACTGTCACTTCATTAGGAACATTCAGATCTCTCATCTGGCTGCTAGAGTTCTACCTTCACTCGTCATTCATGTGGTCAGAGCTCCTAAATATGACACTTCCGACTTCCCTTGAAGGCCACATTACAGCTGTTTGTGTGTGTGTGTGTGCGTGTCTGTCTGTGAGTTTGTGTGTGTGTGTGTGT